TAGGTTGGAATATGCAGCTGGAATTCCATGTGCAAACATTCCTGCACCCATTAAAATTCTTTTATTATATAGGTGGCCTTTAATCACTGACTTAAAAAAAGTATTTAATACTTCTTTGGCACAGCTTCTGCTTAAAACTGCAATTGCTGGCGAGAAATGATGTGTATCTCGTTCTTATTACAAAGAATAATAGTCCTTTTCTTTGTCTCTGTCATGTGGTATTCCAAAGTACAGAATCTAACCTTTTCTATTGATATGAAAGTGTTTCTTCCTTGGAATAGGTGAGGACAATCTCCCATGTGTCTTGATGCACATTTCTTTTCGTGTGGGCTGATGGGCCTACAAGGTGTAGTTGGCAAAGTCATGGCAGGTCTCCTGAAGCTCTGAGTCTAGGAAAAAGTGTCATGTGAGGTGAATAATGTGCTCTGGAGTTTTGTACAGGCTGTGCCAAGAGGCCCAGAAAGGCTGCCAGATGCTTTCCTGGTCTTGCTCATAGAAATGGCAAATTTTGTCCTCTACTATGCCAGTTATACACTGTTTCTGTGCTTCAAGTTTTCTTCTGTTAAAAATAGGCACCAGGAAGCTTTGGTTTGCAAAAGCCTGGCTGCCTGAGAGGGTTGATGTAATTGGTTTTTGGGAAGTGTTTGGCATCACCTCTCTCTGAACCAGGTACAGACACTCCTCCTCTCGTTTCTTTTCGGCATGACGGAGCACCCAAAAGACCTGTTCAGAGGAGGCTATTTATAGCGGGGATGATATCCGTTACATCCTGGACATGAATGTGCAAATGCACGGCCCTTGCCGTGCTGGTGACAGTGCTGTTAATATATGTCACTTTGCTTATTTTTCCGTTTGGGAAGCCCGCTGTTTCAAGGAGTTCTTTGGAAGAATGTATCGTAAAGTGGGCATTTGCCATTTCTCTTACTCGAGTTCAGCTTTGGCAGATATGGAGAAAAAGAAACAGCCAACTTAATTACATTCTTATCAGTTCTTTCTGAGGTTAAAGTTCAGGAAAAATCACAGATTAATCTTAGGGTGCTGGTTTTCCTATCAGCGATATGGAACAAGTAATGCTAACCTAATTTTCCAAGGTACCATTTTGGAATATTTTGATATTAGTAGTTGTACTGCCCTGTGGATTGGATCCCCACTCCTTTTAGGATTTTTTAAAACATGTATTGGGGGGGGGCAGTTTGTGGTAAATGAAAGTATGAAATGGCTGGGAATTAGGGTAATGCGTTGCTAGTTGCTTACCCGGAGGGCCGTTCCTCCCTCCCTTGCACCAAGATGGCCCTGTCCTACCACCAGCAAGACTCCTTCAGTGGTTCTGCAGGCCTATTTTGGAGGCTGCATCATAACTGAAGTTTTGAATTCCTGACACCCCAGGGTCAGGCTGTAGTTGGCACACAGTCATATATGTTTAAAGGAAAATATTACTCGTCACTGCTTATGTTCTCATTTTCTTTTCCCTTGTTCGTTCCCTAGAAATAAAGGAGCATTGTGGAATTTCTATGAAATTCAGTTTCATTCCTTCTAGGTTGGCTTCCTGTATTCTTTCTCTTCTATTCCTTTTGTCAGAGGTGGCCTATTTTAAACTAATTACCCTAAATAGACCTTGACTTACTACTATATATGAACTGTAATTTTGGTTTTTAGAACCCAGAATTGTTTCAGAGTACCATCATATGAGTAAATCTGAAAAGAATATTTACTCAGGTATGCTCTTATAAAATAGTTCCTCATGCATAGAGATAGTTACTGCAAGATAATAGCAAGGACTGCAATGATTTGGTTATGTGTTTTGGAGAAGGGGGGGGGCTTCAGGATTGATGGAACTGCTCGTAGTAACTGGAACCATACTTAAAATCAGACTAGCAGAGGAAGGAAGGAAGGAAGGAAGATTTATTACATCAGTACAGGACTTATGATGCATATCATGCACACATTGAGTTTCCAAGCTTGCCTGCAGCAAAGGATAAATTTACAAACAGGACTCACTTTGTATGCAGTTACTTGATTTTTTGTCACCTTTTTTCAGATGTGACTGGTAGATAAATACTGTCACTTAACATGCTTATACAGCTTTCAAACAGGTTATTGGAAGAATTCCTCCTTGCTTTGGTGGCTTTGTTTCTGATTGGAAGGTGTATTTTAGTACAATAACAAAAAGATATATTCCTTTCAATAGCAGATCATTCTTCTTGAATTTCCCATGGATAGTAATACCAGGTTTTAAGGGTGGTGAAATTATCTAATATTAAAAACTTCTCCTTTATCCTAGCCTCTTGGACTGTCTTCTGTTTAAAAGTCAATTTGATGCTCCGTCTAACCAGCTTCTAAGGCAAGGTGACCCAATTCTACTTTCCTTTTACTCCTCTATTATCCAGCCTAAAAGATAGAGCTCCATGCTTCATATTGATAACAATTCCTTTTCCTCAATTCAAAAGTAATACGGGGAGTGGCCCAGCTAACTCTCCTACATCCACCACAATCTGCTGCTCTGTTCTATGTAGCACTTTTTTTTTAAACCATTGTGTATGTTCTCAGTAAGTAGCAAAAGAACTGTAGCGTTATCTGGATGGGGGCACAGGTAGCGTTCTTGCTATCTTAGCATCAGCATTCAAAACAACAAATTGCTAGAAGCTTCTGAAGAATGGCTTTCTCCCCTGCTAAGTCATTGGGAATGGTGCCTGGTGGTTTGTTTACCTCCTACAGATGAGATTAAAATATAATTATTGTGCACGTGCAAATTAAAGAAAGTCAAGAAAAGGAACTGCCCTTTTCATATTATTGTGTTTATAGATCTAAAAGTTTTGGCAGGGTTCTATCTCCTCTGTGTACCTACCACACATCCCCCCAAAAAACCCCTATTAGTTATTTGAGGCATTATTTTTGATGCAGGGATGCAGCAGGTCAGGCGTGACAAAGGCCAACCCAGCAGATTCTTTGCAAAGGAATCTCTGCCCTCTTGTTTTCAACTCTCTGAAACAGCGGAACAGTTTACTGCTGGGCCTGGTTGAAGAACAAAGTTTGGACTTGTCAGCGTGGTCTTTAGGGACTAATGCAAGAGATGCTTCTTGGCAGGAGCACTTCTTTTGCTCATCTGCTTGGAGTGGGGAGGGGGAAGTACCCAAAATCAAGATTCTTAGAATTTCGTTAGGGTTTGTTCCCCAATTTGAAGGCTGAGGGCACATTGCAGCAATAGTTAATAAAAGCAACAATATCGCTAATGGGAGATATCAGTCACAGTCTAGTCCTCTTATTATTCCACCCCTGAATCTTTCAGTACTTCTCACTTTTGTTGCGCTTGGCAGCAGACAGGAAAAAATTAATTTCCAATTACTTTGGAACTTTTGTAAGAGGGAATAGAATAATGTAACATGTTTTGGGTATGTGGGTGTGTATTTGAGGCAGAGCAGTGGAGGGCAGGAAAATGCTGATTATAAAGTCTGGGGAGCAAACTACCTTCTATCAAGGATTACATTGTCTGGGGGGAAAATTTGAGAGTGAAGTTTGGCAATTGGCTGGACAAGAACAAGAAATTAACAAGGACTTCCTCCCTCCCTTCCTCTTGTCTACTACTTCCAGGGCAAGGGTGAGTCTTTCTTTCTTGGCAGACCTGATCAGCCGTAGACCACTTATAGTGCAATTTGCAAGCTGCCTAATTGGGTGGTGACTTGTGAAGAGTTGAAGGTCTCCTTATAGCAGCATTGTTAATCTTTTTCATAGCGAAAAGAACGGATGCAGATGAATGTAGCAAGCCCAGTAGAAATCTGGATTAAAACATGCAGAAATATTATTAAACTTCTTTCTGGTGTGAATGGCCTTGGAAATTCCACTATAGGAAGAATGATCCTTTTGGTAAATAAAGACAGAAGTTCTAGAGAACTTTCAATCCATTTGAAACAAATATCCATTTGCCTTTCTGTCATTCTGGCTGAAGAAGCCTCCTCTTTCTCCTAGTTTAGATTCACGTTTGATTATTGAAATTCAATTTATATTTTACGGAAATGTCCATTTGTGTTCATTTTAATTAGCATTCTTGACCTTTTGAAACTCTTTCAGATGCCAAAGTTATTCTTGCCCAGGAAAATTGAGAATACAAGGGTGTTTTTACTCGGTGCTTGTAAAATTATTTTTACAGTACTTGTTTTGCAGTGTCAAGCATAAAGTCTTGAGAACTACAGATAGCCATTTAGCATTGATTTATTTAGTGACTGTTTAATTATGACAATAATTAAAAAGTAACTTTGCAATTTCCATTTACCACCTTCGCAGGTCAGTAAAGAAAAAGAAAGCTGGAGTAAGTGGAATAAGGACAAACATAGTTGCAGTTACACTTAGCAACTGCTTTGCTTAAGGTTGCCTATCATTAAATGAGAACCTGTATTTCATGATGGGATGTGCATACTGACCATTCTGCCACCTGTTCTTTGGCAGGTTACTTGTGCCAAAAGCAAAGTCTTGCCCAGAAGTGGAAACAGTGGCCCTTTATCTGGAGTGAGCTGGGTCAGGCAACTCTACCTAAAGCCATCATCAGTTGCGAGGTGCAGCAGAGTTGTTTGCTTATGTATTGATTGATTGTACTTCCATGCTGCACACTTAACTATTGAAATAACTCTGGGCAGCTTACAAAAAGAGAAAAGGTAATACACAAACACTTAAAATTAAGGAAGATTAGCTAGAAAGTGAAGGCTAAGAGGGTGGAATCTAGCCTGCTGACCAGGCCCAGCATAAGCCACCCCCATCAAAGCCCTAGGCCGGCCAGGAGAGCCAGGTCCGGAAGGCCCATGTGGAAGGCCTCACACCTTCAAAGGCGGAGTATTCCAGCCATCCCCTTGTTCCAATCTCATGCTGCCAGGCGGGGCTTCTGTCTTTGTGGATGGGGCTCAGCTATGAGGAAGCGACTTAACTGGCCTCCCAATGAATCAGATGGGCAAATCTCTCTGATGACCTTTGTGGCAATCAGCCGGACTGCACCTGCTTTTCTTCTTCTCTAGAATGAAAAACTGTCCCGGCTTGATGTCCCTGCAGTTCCGGTCACCTTCAAGGAATTCATGATCACATGACCCTGGATATGGATGTCGTCCTCTCGGATTTTGTTCGCTCAACGGGGGCAGAGCCAGGATTGGCAAGAGACTTGCTTGAAGGTAAAAACTTCAGTTTGAAGATGGCTTTGACTTTTTTCTGCCACCTTCAATTCTTGCCTTTTAGTTATCCATTTCTGAGTTGCAAAATAATACGGTCATCTCAGAAAATGCCACATCTGGCTATTTATGATTATCTACAGCTCCCCATCTTAAGGTGGGGGTTTTGCCTTAGGATTTTATTCTGTAGTTGGGTGCATCTCCTAAATCTCCGTCCATGACAGTTGGCCTCTTGTGAAATACTTACGCTTAGGATGATTCCCTGAATTGGCAGAAAGGGAAGAGCGCATCTATTTCTAGAAATTTAGAGAAAGCAGAGATAAAAGGCTGAGATTGGGGAAATTTCCTTTAGATAGTGGTGGTGGTGATCCCCAAATTTCCTTACAAAGGAAAAGAGGAGGCTGGGTTGGCTTTTTAAAACCTGCTTAGACTTGTTTCCTTTTCCTAGGGAAAAACTGGGACTTGAACGCTGCACTGAATGATTTTGAGCAGCTGAGGCAGGTTCATGCCGGGGTCCTGCCCCGTTCCTTCAATGACGGTCATACTTTTAAATTTGTGGAGAAGGAGATTGCCCACAGTGCCCGGCCACAGCTGCAGCGCCAAGATGATATAATTCAAGGTAAGAGCCTCTCCTGGTGCTGAAAATGGCTGGTTTACGGATAGAAGCACTATTTGCATTCCAAGGAAAGCGAGTCGGCACCTGGTGGAACGTGATGAATTTTGAGTTCCTGTCCCAGTCAGGAGAGGACAAGGATGCTGCCTCTGCAGCTGCTCCCCTTCCTCTTGTTTTCAGAGAAGCGCTTGTCCCGAGGCATTTCCCACGCCAGCTCCACCATCATCTCCTTGGCTCGCTCCCACGTCTCCAGCAATGGCGGCAGCGGTGGCGGCAGCGAGCAACTCTTGGAGATGCCGATCTGTACCTTCCAGCTCCCTGACCTGAATGTTTACAGTGAAGACTTCCGGAACTTCATCGAACGGGATCTCATTGAGCAATCGATGCTGGTGGCCCTGGAGCAGGCTGGTGAGTAGAGAGTTGCCGCTTTTCAGAAAGGCTGAGACTCTCCTGGGCCCACCTGATGATTGTGCTCGATTACCAAGCTGCTTAGGTATCGCCTCTGTGCTATTGCTTCCTGGGCCTATTTTTTTTAGAGCCAAGCCCCAGGGCGCTTTGATTCAAAATTCCCCATAACTTCCTATATCAAAGAGCTGCTTTGATTTTCAGTCCCTGCTGACTTGAACCCTCCTACATTCTATGAAGGTTCAGAGTTTAGCATTTGGCATTGGCCTGGTATGCTCACTCGGGGTCCTCTTCCTTTGAACTGTTAGGATGTGTTTTCTGGGGTTGGAGTTGGAACATTGCAGCACACTGCAGCATTCTCAGAACTAAGAAGAGGAAAAATACACATTCTGGAAATTCCACAATCTCTCATATGTCAATGGCCAGCATCGCATCTTATATTTCTTCCTGGAATATAAGGGAACCATCTCTTTGCTAAAATACTCATATAATTTGGGGAATCAGTGCATTTTCCCAACAAAATTTATATTGCTTAATGCTGCAGACTGGTTCAAGGATTAATGTAAACCCTCCCCTACTCCTGGTGAGTAACTGCAGAACGGTAATTTTTCCCCTCAAAATAATGACTCCCTCCCTCCCTCCCTCCCTCCAATCTCCTGAATTATTTGGGGCTTTCATCACAATGTCTTCCACCCCCTTAAGGTGACAAGATTTAAGGTTACTTGGACTTTAAAATTGTCCAACTAGGAAAAGATGTTCAAGCAGTTTCTTGGCTGTGAGACTTGGGAGGTCTTGCAAAAGGAATACTTTTATGTTGCTTTCAGACATAATCTGCTATTGCTTAGGAAGACAATGATGTAAGCGTCTAGCACCCATGCAAGTGTGTGTGTGTGTGTGTGTGTATGTGTGCACGTGCGCACACACAGCAGAAAAAGGATATATTCAAAAGATAGACAAAATAATCTTTTTGCAGTAAACCGTGTTTTAGCTTTCCTCAGATTGGGTTTTATCTCTGTTGCTCTTTGGAATTCTGCGCTCAGTGACCTTCTTGGCTGTGCTGCCTGTGCCAAAATGGGAAGTGGCTGGTCTGTTTCCAAAGGCTGGCTCAGGGCCAATCCTGTCTGTTTCCATCACAGAGTCAGATCCTTTCTCTTGGAGGACGGAGGAACGGTTGCCGATTTCCAGCCTGTTAAATATGCCATTCCAGGGAAAGCAAGGGATTAATTATTCTAATCAAAAAGTCCTCTTGTTCTGAGCCTTCTGGTAGGATTGAGTTGTTCTTGAGAAATGTTGTTTTGCCTGTCTTGCTGGGCAACCCTGACATTTTGATACTTCTTTAATCCCTTTTTTTAAAGTAAGCTGGGGGACAGTTATTGCCATATTTAAGGCAAGAGCAAAAAATTTTGCTCTAGTTATAAGGCAAAGATTGCTTTGGCTGGTTTGCTGCTAACCCTCTCCCTCTTCTGTTTGGCTCTATATGGCAGTGGACTCGGCAACAAACTCATTAATACAGAGTACAGTAATCTTCATTTCCAGTTTGTTTTTAAGGTCCAGCGGAGCCTTTCTTTTATGTCACCTCAAGTAGCTGTTGTAGTATATAGTAGGTAAGAATCAGTGGTGGGATTCAAAATTGTGTGGTATCGGTTCTATGAGAGGGGACAGGAAACGGTGGGGGTGGGGGAGCCAACCCAAGGTGGTATTTGCCAGTTCTCCGAACTACTCAAAATGTTCACTACCGATACACCAGAACCGGTCCAAACCGGCTGAATACCACCTCTGGTAAGAATCAAAGTTGTGAATCTCTAAGAAAGGATTCTTTCTTTCCATAATAGGCAAGGAACAGCTCATTAAATGCAGAAATTAGGCCAAATGAAGATAGCAGTCTGTACTTGAAATGCTCCGATCCATAAACTCTCAAATGCGGAACATGTGTTTGTATTTAGTATATACACACATCTGTTCTCCCCTTGCCCAGGTCGTCTGAACTGGTGGGCCAACGTAGATCCCAGCTGTCAAAGGCTGCTTCCCTTGGCAACAACGGGTGATGGAAATTGCCTGCTTCATGCTGCATCCCTAGGTAAGAACTTTCGGTCGTAAAGTACACATTTATTCTGTGCATTCCTTCTGTTGCTAGGCAGCTGGGCCCTGGCTCCCTTTCTTGTTCCTTCCTTCCTTTCATAAGCAACTGCTTATGATGTTTAGTTTCCTGGTAAAAATGACAAATACCTCAGTTACCACAGAGTCAGTTTGACCTTTTGGGCCCTCCTCTCAGGCTGTATGTCCCAAATAATTCTCTTCTTTCTCCTCAGTCAGCTGGGCTTCCTGACTACTGTAAGCCACCAATACTGTAAACCAAAATCAAAGCAAGCATGTTATGACATAGGCCCAATCGGTCCAATTAAAAATGCCTTAAAAGGAGGCTGTTCTTTGTTTTTTCCTTACCACCTTCAGGTATGTGGGGTTTCCACGACAGGGATCTGATGCTCCGCAAATGCCTTTACGCCCTGATGGATAGAGGGGTGGAGAGGGAGGCTCTGAAAAGGCGCTGGAGGTGGCAGCAGACCCAGCAAAACAAAGAGGTAATGATTTGGAGCGGTCTCTGAGAACTGGTGAGGCCAGTCTTGGCTCTCTGCTTTGTTCAGAAAAGGGGATTCTTTAGTCCGAAATTCAACCTTACATCCCTTCTGAATCCTAACTCCCTCAACTGTCAAATGTGGTGTATCTTTTCTAAACACCTAAACACAGCAGCTCCTCCCAGATCAGTCTTGGAGAATAATCTTAAAAAATCACCCTCTAAAATAGGATGATTGAGAGGAGATATTTTGTTTGCATATAGATTTCTTATTGTCTTTACTGTCTCTCTGCCAATATTATAGTCTGGCCTCGTATACACAGAAGAAGAATGGCAAAAAGAGTGGAATGAGCTGACCAAATTGGCTTCAAGTGAACCACGTATGCATTACAGCACCAACAGTGGGAACTGTGGAGGGTAAGTAGGATTTTTCATTAAGCAAGATATTGCAATGCCCAGGACTTTAGCTGTGTGTGTGTGTGTGTGTGTGATACTTTGAGTCCTTAAAAAGATGCTCAATGAAAAATAAACACCCTTGTCTTTGAAGCCGCATTCAGCAGAAATCTGCATCTGCTCATGCCACCAAGGCTAATTCCCATGGAATGGCAATTTATGCCTGTCTTGGCAGTGTGTGTATAATAGGCCAATCCTTGTTCCCAGGGATGTTGGCTCCAATCCACAGGGTGACCGCCTTCTTCTGAGTGACACAGGAAAGGGGTGCATGGATACAGTGATTCAGCATGCAGAATGTTAAACATTTAGTCATCTCTCCCCCCCCCCCCCCCCCCCCCCCCAAACGCTTTTTGATTTGTTTTCTTCAGGGTTGAAGGATCTGAGGAGCCGGTGTATGAGAGCCTGGAAGAATTCCATGTTTTTGTCCTTTCCCATGTATTGAAGAGGCCCATTGTGGTTGTGGCAGACACAATGTTGCGAGATTCTGGAGGAGAAGGTAAGAGTGCAGTGAGGTGCATTAAGAAAGTGCGGCTGTGATCTGCCTTGGCAGTTCTGTCAGTTGCTGTTTTCAGCATGCTTATTTGGAAAGAAAAGTGCCCCAAGTAGACAAGGAAGAGTCATTCGTGCAGAGTAGTCTCAGCGGTTACTTTTGGTTTCATGGTAAAAGTTGAGAGCTTTCTCAGTGTCCGTAGTTTACTTAGTCATTGAATATAAGGTTTGGAAGAGATCTTACAGATCCCTTAAGCTTCTGCGCAGTGTAGAAATCCAGTATAGCAATATCCCTTACAAGTGGTCATCCAGGGTCTCCAGCAAAAGAGAGTCCACTCCTTCCCTGGCAGTCTCCTGAACAGGTTCCTTGAAATTTGAACTCCCCGGTTTCTGTCTGGCCTCCTGGAGCAATTCTGTATAGTTCTGTCCCGTCTTTTCCATCTCAGCCCTTCAGATACTTGAAGAAGACAGCTATTATGTTTCCACACAGTCTTCCAAGGAATAAGTACTGTTTCTGAAGACCTTGAAACTTTACATCTCACTCCTCCCTCTCTCTGTCCCCACCCACCATCTACTTTTCTTTTGTGTTCTGAGAGGTTTCCTGGTACCACCACTGAACCTGCAAAGTGCTTCCTGCATCGGTTCCAGGAGTTCCTTGTCATTTCTGAGGAGCTTACGGGGTGGGCAGTTTTGCTTTTCTCCCAGGGAAGGCACCAGCCTGCATGTAGCACATGTATCACTCTTAGACTCTTCCAGGAAAAGCACAAACACCAAATAGATCACAAAAGCAGTTTCTCCTGTCTCTATATCATTCAGATGAACAAACAAAATGTAAATCCTTCCCTCTCTTGACCTTTTTTACCAACTTTCCCCAGCAACTCCCTGCTGGCTGCACCCATTCTGCTCCTGCTGCTGCTGCTGATGACGATGATAGTGCTGGTAACTGAGGAACATGGTTTCACAAGAGGCTTCTTTCTCCTTTCCAGCATTTGCTCCTATCCCCTTTGGTGGCATCTATTTGCCTCTGGAAGTTCCTGCCAGCAAGTGCCATCGTTCCCCATTGGTTCTGGCCTACGATCAAGCCCATTTCTCTGCCCTGGTGTCCATGGAGCAAAAGGAGCCCATCAAGGAACAAGGTGTGCACAAAACGGGTTGCTGCTCTGTTGTTGACCTTCCTTCTGTCCTTGCTGTCTGTCTTGGATCCTGTAAAAACATCCGGCAGAGGAGAGTTCTATGATCCCCTCACAGCCCTTTCTATCAAATGCATGGCTTCCTTTTGCTGGTAGTTTTCTACTTTCCCAACTCCAAATTCTGTTTTTAGGGACCTTAAGGAAATTATTTTTTCCCTTTTTTTTCCCAACCTAGCTGTGATCCCTCTGACAGACTCTGAACACAAACTGCTTCCGGTACACTTCGCAGTGGATCCTGGGAAAGAGTGGGAGTGGGGTAAAGATGACAATGATAACGTCAAATTGGCAAGGTAAATAAAAGGAGAGCTCAGTGTGGAGGAAATGTTGAGTTTCTACATTTTTGGATTTCATATTGGAGCTTGAAAGGAGTAAGGGAGGACAAAGAAACCTCCAGAGAAATAGGTCTTGGTAAAAAACAGTAAGAAATGGAAGGTGTAAAGAATCACGCAAGAGACAGGCTAGGTGCAGGAGATGACCAGGCTGAGCCCCAGGGAGGAGGGGCCAAGCACATCCTAAGCCTCTGGCACTTAGCGCCCACCAGGGATCCAAGTCCAGCCCACCTTAAATTCCGTGCCCTCCTGTCTGCTGCCTATCTCCTTTGACTGCTGGCAGTTCAGATTCTCCTAGAGAGGGTTAGCGGAGAAAAAACCATTTGAACCACCTTGACTCCTGATTTTCTGCACTTGTCTTTAAGCTGGGAAAGGGGAAATTGCTAGCAACAGAGAGGCAGTCTTTTGAAATAGGAATTGGAGTGAAAAATGTGAGGAAATCCAATACTCCTGTTTTGAAATCTACAATAATTTACCCAGGGTATTACTTATTTGAAATGTTATTTCATACTTGGAATTTCTATAAGATCCAGGGACAGGAGCTCCAATTTAACTCAGTGGCATAATTTTGTTTTTGTTTCTGACATGGCCCTACCTGTTTAGTGTGACTCTTTCACTGGAGGCCAAGTTGCATTTGCTGCACAGCTACATGAATGTAAAGTGGATCCCTTTGTCTTGTGAAATGCAGGTAAAAAATGTTAAGGGAATCACATTCTATGTATGGAAGGGAGGGATACTTCAGGTGATTTTCCTGTTCGCTCTAGAATAATGGAATTCTAGATTTGGATTATTTCAGGTGTTGAGTCCAACCCTTGCTCAGCTCAAGGGTCCACCTTAAAACAATCCTCAACTAATGGCTACTCAGCCTCTGCTTAAATATACCTCCCGCCCCAACAGTTACTAATTTTAGGAAGTTTTTTTTCCCCCAATGAGAACTCTACCTTTCTGTAATTTAAATCCATTATTCTCAAGAAGACAAAATAATTGTGCTAAGCAGAATTGGATGAAACAGGCCTTTGTGCTAATGTTGCAAAGGTGACTTGTTTAGCAAGTGATATGAGCTGTTCAACTTACATTCAGTCTACTATGATTTAAAGAGTTTTATATACTGAGGATACCCATACAACTATAATGTGTTTTATAAGGTGCTCCACTCTTAAGGCAGATCCATTTTAATGTAGAAATAATCACAATGGAACAGCCTATCATACCCAACCCCAGCCTCCCCTTTCCCTGGCAGTGGAAAGGTTTCCTTTGATTGCGCACAGCTGCCTTTTCCTGTACCTGTCTCTCCCTTCTTTCTCTAGGCACCTCTTGCTCAGCCAGAGTCTCCAACGGCTTCTGCAGGTGATGAGATCCGATCGGCTGCAGACTCGGGGGATTCAGATAAGGAATCAGTTTGTAGCAGCTCAGCAAGCAATAGTGGCAGCAGCAAGACCAGCAGTAAAGAAAAACCAAAAAAAGAGCGGGAAAAGGACAAGGAGAAGAAACGGGCTGACTCTGTAGCCAATAAACTTGGAAGTTTTGGCAAAACACTGGGGAGCAAGCTAAAAAAAAATATGGGCGGGCTGATGCATAGCCGAACAGTCAAAGGCGGAATGAGCAATGGACAAGGGGAGACCTTGGAGAAGAAAAAGAAAGGCTCCATAAAAATAAGAAAGGGCAGCAAAGAGGAGGCTCCTTCTGGAGATTTTTCAGCTCTTCCAGAGAAGTCCGGTCTAGCTAAGACGACATCTTCAGAAAAGCAGCCCGATCACTGCAAATACAGCAGTGATGTCAAGCTGAGTTTGAGCATCCTACGAGCTGCCATGCAAGGGGAGCGCAAGTCCATCTTTGCTGGTCAGCTGAAGACCAGTCACCGGCACCAGTACCAAGAGGAGATGATCCAGCGGTATCTCCTGGATGCTGAGGAGCGCTATTCTGCAGAGCAGAAACAAAAGGAAGCTGAGAAGAAGATGGTGGCACTGGGCAATGGGGGAGCTGCCAAAAAGATGGACTTAGAAGGCAATCCTCTCAAAGGAGAAGAGACTCCACGGAACTCCATGGACCACCCAGGACTGTCGCCATATAGTCTCCAGAGCTCAGATCTGGCCACGGTGGGTACTAAAATATCCAGTTTTTCCACTGGCCACTCAGGAGTCTTCACCATTCCCCGGCCTTCTATGATGAGCAATGTGGAAAGCACCTATCCTCCTACTTACCAAGATGGCCGAAGACAAGTTGCTGGAGGCCTCTGTGCTCCTTTTCCCTCTTACGCTACACTGCCCAGGCAGTGTGCACAAAGCCGTTCCCACCTGTCCCAGCAGGTGGGACACTTCTGTACCACAGAGATGGATATGCCACCTAGTTATGCGGAGGTGGATTGTGAGGGCTCTTCCTACCCAGTTCTATCCAGCAATGGCTATCAAGATTGCACAGAGCCAGATGGTAGCTCTACAAAAGTAGTGCAGGGTGATCGAAGAAAAACATGGCTGCTGTACAATGTACAGCAAACCAAATGCAAACAGCCCAACTGCAGTTTTTATGGACATCCAGAGACTGGGAATTTCTGTTCATGCTGTTACAAAGAAGAACTGAAACGCAAAGAACAGGAGAAGGAGACACTGATACATCGGTTCTGAAGAAACAAATATGTACGTTTCCTATCTGGACCCATGGGATATGGGGAATGCAATAATTTTTTCTACCCCTGTTCCCCTTTCATTAAGGGGAGGAGTTGGCCAGTGGGGGTTGGTAAGCTGCTTACGGGAGTGGGGGAACCAAAGCCCCTTACTTCCTAGAAGCATGGAAGAAAACTCCATTAAAGAGCAAGGGCTGCTAGTGTAATGTGATGGGGACAGTTCCCTGGAAGGTGGGGGTAGAATTCAGGGAGGTTGCATTTTGTGCAGGACTGTAGTTGTTGAATCAAGCAAATCCTCTAGACCAAAGCTTTGAATTCCAAGATTAGAGAAAAACAATGACAAAGGCCTGTTCTTATTTGATCACCCTCCAACATATTTTTTTAAATTTTTATTTCAAAGGGATTAAAATTAGTATCACTCAGTTTTGTCTTAATGCCTGAAGCGTCGAGGCTCTTTAACAGTTTCATGTCTTTTTTATGACTATTTTTATGTCTCTGGGGTATTCTGATACTGCACAGGGACTGAGTTGGAAAGGAAGTATTCTGAAGAGTGAATCAAGTTCAGTTACCTCCCTGTTCTTCTGATGCTGCCTCCTTCCAAATCCACCCATCTTTTCCCACAATTGTCTGGTCTTCTGAGCATGCTTGTTCTAGCTAGGGTTAGCTTCAGTTAGAGATGAGCTTCAGAGATTTTTTTTTTGAAGTATATATTTTAAAATACTTGTCAGGAGCTGAATGTGCTAGGTGGGAAGGAATCAAGTCACGGTGTTGTGTATTGAGATAAAGTTTTAACTGAAAAAAAAAATGAAGCTGTTCTTGATGGAATCAAACTACTTGAGTAGAATTTTGGAGACCAGGAGGGAAATCAGTGGGGCTTTAATAAGAGCAATAAACCATTGCAGGCAGCTTTAAACATGGAGAGATGAAAGGTGGTAATGAGGCATCACAGCAAGAATCCTTTGCTATCTGATTTTGCTCCAGCTACTTTTAAAAGCATCAGAAGATAAACCTATATAATATTTTCGGTCTGCAGAGAACAACCTACTTTTTGTGCAAGCTATTTTTCCCAGACTACCTCTGTTCTGTATAGAAAAAAATCTGACTTTGGGGGAACATAGTTATTATTCTTTGTTCCTTGTGGGTTTTCTAATGCAGTACATTAATTCCCATCAACTCCAGCCTTTAGAAATATTGGTATATTTTAAAAGCACCTGATTATTCCCACTTTTGGTGTTGCAGCATTTGTTGCAAATATTTTTTCAACAAATAAAACATGTTTGATGGCTAGGAACTCCCTCCTAATCAGATATTTCACAAAGACATATGCCAGTTATGTTTTGACTGAATTTTGAATGGTGGATAAGGGTCTTTTTTTCCTTCTTTTGGCTCATTTGGGAGTCTAAAACTATGCAATTATTTTCCATCAAGAGCTGCTGAGTTGGGACAGAGAACTGCAAGTGTACTTAATATTTTAAACAATAACCCAACACTCATGGCTTTCTTTAATACTCCTTACACTGCCTTAACATGGACAGTAGCCCAATATGAAATAACAGGCACTTTCTTGTTTCTTTCCTAGATAATTTTATTTGAGAAAGGGGTACTATTAAGAGGCAAATATGTATTGCTATGTTAAATTTGTCAGGATCTGCTGCGTGATATAAAATTAAAACGGGGCTTGCAGAAAATGCTCCTGAGACATACAAGATGGATTTGCACTCACAACTGATAGGTAGTCCATCCACCCCTCTTGCTAAATACTGTCGTGGAAGATTATAGACCACTTAATTTCAGAGCCCTACAATGGGGGAAATGTGTGTGTTTTTAACCAGGATGTGCAGAGGAATAAAATCAGGAGCAAAAGAAAAATAAAACCATGTATTTGTCTTGTTAGGCAACATAAATGTTTACACTGTGTTCAGAAGAATAATTTCAGTCTTAAAATTTGACAGTAGGTGGACGTCTGCAGATTATAATTCATTTGATCTGAAAATCCAACTCGGGATGTTCAATTTTGACATTTCAAGCAGTTTTGGGGTTTGATAGACTAAAAACTAATTTGAGGAAAAGCTTATTCAGTTGGTTTGTGGCTGTATAGAGTAGCTGAGCTCAAAGTAGCCTTTTTAAAAAAATTACACATTTCTTCAAAAATTAACTATCCTAAATCTATTTTTATGAGGGTGGCAGCAGCAGTGGTAGTTGCATTTTTTATGATTCTCTGTGTCTCTTTTCAGTGCTGGTTGCTTAAGATGTTATCGCAAGAATTCCTATAAGTGACATTGGACTATTTTTTATTTGATCACTTTGGCTAAATTGAATGTCACCTCCAAAATTTTTGTTTGGAAATGCACACATGCTATCTGGAAGACATGATACATGCAGAATTCCCCCTTCCCATATAATTTTTTCCAAGTAGTGAAGCCTCTTTCTAGAGATCTGTATGCTTTCTTTTTTTGCTTTTCCAAACTGTAACTAGTAATTTTGAGATTGTACCTTGACAGTTTGTTGCTGATCACTTTTTAATTATAACTATTATTATAATTATTATAGCAATTGGGTTAATAGATTGTAGCATTTTTGTACATCAAAACAAAGTGAACACTTTAAAAACCTCTATTTGAAAAGTATTTTTCTATGAACTCCAGAATTTTAAGTCCAAAACCTTTCCGCCTTAGTAACAGTGAATTCTAATTATTTAACTTCTGCCTACCAGATCAAGTTTGAATTGGTATAGTTGTTCACTGACTTTCCCTTTCCAGACCCTCCTTCTATTTTTCTGAGAAGTGTAGGTTTGTTTCCTTTATGGTGAAACAGTAATCTTTTTTTCATTAAAAAAGCAAAAGTTAAAAATACTATTTATTGAAAAAATAAAACCTTCCCCTTTTTATTCATTGTCTATGCAGCTATAAATTGAAAGCAGTGGATATATTTTAAGGTACCTTTTTAATCATTATTTTCTTGAGCAGAAATATAAGCAGATGAGTTTCCCAAGCACTTTTAATTGAGTAGAGACACTAGAGTAAACAATTTTTTATAGAAGAGCAAGTAGGGGGAGATGTTTGTGGTCTTGCTCCCTCTGCTGGAGGAAGAAGTTTATGGCATATTCTGAGAAATTTAACAATTGGTTTATTCCCACCTTCCTTCCCTATGGATACGGAGAGGAGGGAGGGAGGGAGAGAGACCACAGATTGAGGCAAGTCGAGTGAGAATGCATTATTAGTGATGTGACTGTGGCTTCTGACAGACACTTGTGGGACTCTACAAATAGTTAAAATTATTTTAATATTCCAAGAATCAAAATAACTTTTTCCCATTTGATGCACAATGTTTTGCACAACAAAAGAAAAGGCCTCATTTTGGCTTCAGTTCCTTTATGATTAATTCTGACATTATGTCTCAATTTGTTTTTTTAGTTTGACAAAAATAGAATGACCTTAAATAAAAATGTCCAGGGTATAACTTTAACCAGCATGTAGAAACTCTATAGAAAGGTTTTTGTTAGTTTTTTTCTGCTAGTTGTCTAAGAATTAATTGACCTGATTTAATTCTGTTGTCGACAATAAAAATTATTTGTAAAAAAGTTATTTAAATATATTGTTGTATTTTCTGTTTACTTTGCTCCAGAAATGCCTTCGATATGTGTTACTAGGTAATAATTTTTCTGAAAATTAGTTTGACTATGTTTTGCTGTAGTTTTTTAAGCAGGAGGGTAAGCTGGTGCTTTTCAGGTTATTTTCTACTGGTGAGCCTCTTTGGAAACAAGTTTCTTCCTTCTCTGCAGTTGAAGAATGACTGGGATCTGCTTTAAAACAACAACTGAGAACATTTTATCTTTGTGAATGCACCATTTATTGGTGTTTTGTTTATTTCAATTATTTTTAAAGGAATATATACCGGTATATAGGAATAATTTTCATCTTCCAAATGCTTTATTTGGATGCTTTAAAATGCTTTAAAATAAAATGCTCTATTTATATACATACATACACGTATGTAGAGTTTTGCAGTTTCATAGATTCATCCTCCCTTGGTAGAGAAAATGTGTCACTTTCAGCATTAGGAACAAAATAGAACTAAAACACAGGGCGGAGGTGGCTTGGACCCTCTGAAGATGCTCCAAGTCAATTGAGCAGGAGGCTGCTCTCCCACACACACCCCCTGCTTTCTTGTCTCATCTCACCATTGCCTTAAAAGTGGACATTCCAGGTACCGCTCTCCCAATTCAAACTGTCCTTGGTCATGTGTGTGAAATGCTTCCCTTGTGCCTCAATTACATTAAAACATTGGTAGTGGCTGTTCTCTTTGATCTCTGCCACTCCTGGTTGAGGGACAAAAGGAAATTGGTTCCCAAGCTGAATATTGCTCGCATTCCTATATTCTCTAACCTGGTTCCAGGCAAGCAGCTTTTCTAAATGCTGTATTGGAACTTTTCCTAGAATTCTTTGTACCATAACAAGCCTTTTCACACAGAGAAATCTTGAGGCTTCGAGGAACTTGAATCAGGGGTTCCCTTGCCCTGTGTTAGAGGTGTTCACTTTTCTTTCTCAAGGAATGAATCAGCTGGTTCTACTAAATGGTAAAAGAGTTCATATTAGCCAGGAAGCTGCATTGTGTCACTCCTAATCACTCAATATGGATCTAGAAATTTTAATCCATCTGAACATAATTTATTAATGGAGCAGATTTTTTAACAACACTCTTGGAAAAGGCTTGTTTATGCAGCGAGGACTGCTGAACCATATGTCGTCTGTCTGAAATAGTACAGGGTCTCCTGCTCAAGCAGGGGTTGGACGAGAAAACTTCCAAGGTCCTTTCCAACTCTGTCATTCTGCTTATTCTGCTGCTGATTGTGACCAGGCCAGGAATACCTGGATGCCAGGCAAGGTGAATCTTTGGGTGGACCCAGTGCACAATGAGCTTAGGTTTAGGATGGAAGCTTTACAATACTTCTGTTTGGCAAAGGGAAACCGAAACCGCATCTGCTGGTTTGATTTCTGGTTGGGTTACTTGACAGACAGAATTGCAGTTTCCTATTTTGTATCTGAAGTGCCAATGAAGTTTGTTTCTGTTTTCCCACAAGCATCACTGTTGGCTCTGCCTCAACCATCAAGCCCCATGCTGAGTCTTTGTCGCTCTCATATATAATAAGCTGCTTTCAAGACTGGCACTGTGGCCTCCAAAAATAACTCTCTTCCGCTTGACCAAAGATGCCCCGAGGTAGGGAGACTGGTGAAGCAAAACATTCAGTGCAGTTTTTTGTTTTGCTGTGGAGTTAAATTTATCCTCTAACTGGGAGTGGAATGGAAATGAATTTCTGGAAGAGAGGCAGAAAAAAAATAATACCTGCAACTGTTCAAAGGGCACCTTCCTCTCTAGGTTAGTGAATCTGAAAATCCCTTTGGAAGAATAAAAGGGATGTAAGCTCAATTTGCTGCCTTCAGAGCCAGTTCGGTGGTGTGGTTAAGGCGTCAGGCAAGAAACTAGGAGACCATGAATTCCAGTCTTGTCTTGGGCACAAACTTTCTCTCAGCCATCGGAAGGAGGTAATGGCAAACTACTTCTAAAAAAACTTCCCAAGAAAACTGCAAGGACTTGCCCTCCAAGAATCGGATATTGAACAAAGGAGGGAGGCTTCTTTGAAGTAGATAAGCCCTTTTAAAAAGCGGGGGGGGGGGGGGGATTTCACTGCTGTGTTTGGCTTACGATGCACCATACCAAATTCCAAAGTTATTCTGACACTTTTCAGCTAATTATTGGTTTTAGGAGATCCCCCAATAGGATCTCTCTGCCCTATTGTAGCATTTTATAGGTTTAGATGCAATTGAAAAAACAATTTGTTTCAAGTTAGGTCATTTTGTGTTTTCCTGCGTTTGCTTATTAAGTATCCTTATTTCAAGAGTTCTCAAGTTGGTAAACAAATGCACTATGTTAAATAAGCAGAGGGCTAGACCTGAAGACCTCCAAGGTCCCTTCCAACTCTGTTATTCTATTCTACTCTAAATTATTCTAAATAGCAATGAAAGTATAAAACAAAATTGTTCCAAATTAAAAGAACTGAAGTCAATTTTGAAGGGATTTAAGTCACCTTAAGACAGTTTGGAACAAAACTGGTTCATGTTTTTTGTTATTAGGAGCAATAGTGATTTTTATTAAGTGCTCAGAATTGGAAAGGGAAATATGAATGTATTTGTGACTGAATGTTAAACAGTTTAACAGTTTTGTAATAAGATATATAAAAAAGAGCTATATTTATCTATTAGAAGCAGATCAGAACATTTTCTCTTGATTGGGAAATGATCACTTAGAACGTCTAGGCCGGACAGTCTCCTGTTTTGATAGGGAAAGTGGGAATGACTCAGGGAGTGGGGATTTTTCCACAAAGATGGGGGGAGCATAAAGTAAGAGGGAGAAAATTACATTCAGGCTTTGCAAGATTCTTTCACTACAATGGTTCCAATAAAAGTAGTTTTAGGCCTCTATGGTGTTGGTTTCCTGGTCCGGCCTACCTTATAAGGCTGACAGAGGTTACAGGCGGGCAGTATTTTTATTTGCATCTTTTCAAGATTAACCAAGAAGCTTCCTAAGATAGGAATAAATCCTCTAGCAGCTAGAAGAGTTTCATTGTCTCTGTTATTTCTTTGGACTGCAAAGTACAATGAAGAAGGCACGACAGCAATTCTGCCAGCCTCTGCTTCAGCTTGCATTCCTTTTCTCTATTTAATCTTCCTCTTATATTATAAAAGCCCCCAGGCATGGAGCGGTGACCTCATTACACCATCCCTGCTCAGGCATACTGAAGACAGCTTTTGGCTTCTGTGTGGGGAATGCCTGCTGGAGTCTAAGAGGGCTAGTGCACCAAAGTATGCATAGTTGCCATTTCAAACTAACGTCCTCTAGCAATGTTGGAGGGTGTTGTTCATCGATCCCAATTTATATATTTACTGGCAATAACTGGAACTGTAGTTTGCTGTTTCAAGTTGAAAAAAAGGTGACATATTATAGAGAATTAACTGAGAATAACATTTCCACCATTCCGAGACCTTGACCTGACATGTCTAACTCAAAGCTATTGAGCTTCAGAGGATGTCCTTATCAGAGACTTTATGGCAGGCTACCCTTTGACCTTTCCAGCAAGACCTCATTTTGTAATCATTAGCCAAATTTCCTGAGGCTGCTGCTACTTGTTTTCTTGGAGAAGGAAACAAGATTTGGCCAAGATCTTGGAGTCATATTCCTATCCTAGTGCTCTTCAGATGTTTTGGATTGCAACAGTTATTACAGCAAGCAGGTCCAAAGACCACAGGACCTAGTTTTAATTAGTGTTGTTAACCAACAATTCTGGAGATTAATGAAGGTTACAGAATAACTCAGTTTTCAGCTTTCCCACACTTCTAAAAGAATTGGGATTTATTTGTATCTAAGCTGCAGCATTTACATGACAACTCCCCCCCCCACTTTCCACAAATATATTTTCTGCAACAAGTATGTAGTCTTTATTTTTTCATATATAACAGCAACACCAGTTTGTATAAAAATTAGATGTTTTGTTTCACTGTATATAGTTTGAAACTTGCTCACAATGGACTTTTATTTTTTTTAATGTCCATTATCCTTTTTTTTAATCACTCTTAATTTGCTGTTGTCAGTAAAGCTGAAAAATCTTGCTGCTTACAAATGCCAGACCACATGCTAAAAAAGCACTAGCTTCCACTATAGGTGGGGGTTGCTTTACATCCTCTTATCACAATTTATGATTTCTGCCTTCAGTTCTTCAACACTCTAGTCTAGCTCTTTCCAAAATGATTGCCAAGTTTGCCCTATGTTCAGAGGGAATTTCCTTCTGGAAATTTAAACAGAGGACTTTGCCTGTCCTTGCATTAACCACACATACCATTAACTTGCAAAAACTAATGTGTGATCTTTTTTTTTTTTTTTTAAATGACAGGATTCTGCTCGTTAGCCTGTCAACTGCAAATCGAGGTCTCTGGATTTGTGTTATGACTAAAGCAGCTTGGCAACAAGACCCCATCCTAGAACAGCAGAGTGAGTGCTCTGTGAAAACAGCAGCTACCACCAGGGAAGGGGAGCTGTTGCTGGTAGCTGCATGCAGCATACAGCCATTGCCAGGGCGTCAGTTTCACCCGCCCTGCTTATTCCACAGGAGGAGGAAGGTGTCAGTTTCACAGAGGACTGAATGGCCCTCCTGCGGCTGCTCCTTTCCAAAGGGCCCGTTGCAGCAGGGGGGTGGGGAGGCCTCCAAGGAAAAGCCAAAAGCCGCGCCTTGCAGTAGCTAGCAGCCCTCCTACATGCACAGCTGCTGGCCAGCTTTTCCAGATGTCCTCTCCAAACAGCAGCATTTTATTTTTTTTAGAAAGGAATCTGATTAAATGTATCCATTCTCTCTGCTTCTGCCCTCTCCAAGGAAGACTTCCAGCATTTGCAGAAGAGCTGCTTCAGTTTATCTTGCCTCGCAGGAAGGAGAGACTTGGAGGTATCTGATCACCAAGACCCCCCGTCCTACCATGCTTCCACTCTGTCACCCCCAGTCCTAGCCTGCATTTCAGATTCCAG